TGGCTGTGGTCAGTCTGTAGTACCTTCTCTCTGCTGCTCCTTTCTCCTCTCACTTTTGCCCTGTTTCAGTGTGGGTCCTACCCATGGGTTGCAGTCCTTCATGAAGTGCTCCAGCATGGGTCTTCTCCACAGGCTTTCAGAAAAACCGGCTCCAGTGTGGGCTGTCTAGAGGCTGCTGTTGCTTCAGGAAACATCCACCTGGTGTGGGTGTCCTCCATGGGTTGCAGTGTAGTTGTCTGCTCCACTGTGGGCTTCTATGGGTGCTTCAGAATTTCCACTCTGACACCTGGAACGCTCCCTCCCCCTTTTCAGTCCTTGGTGTTCACAGGGGTTTGAGTTGTTTTTTTCCTTTTGTTTCTTACTCATGGGCAGCATTTTGACCTTTCTTAAACACGTTTTCCTCCGAGTCCCACTGTCCTGTCTGCTGGGCTCAGCTGTGCCTTGCAGTGGGTTGGTTGGAGGCTGCTGGAACCAGCCATGTCTGGCACAGGGCAGGCCTGGCCTCTTCTTGCAGAGGCTACCCTGCTGCCACCCCACAGCCAGCCCCTTGCTGTGTAAACTCAGTGCAGCCTGCAGAAAATTCCATGAGAAAAACAATAATGGCCTGTTTGTAGCAACATTTGAGTAATGGTTATAACAGTGAATGATAGGAAAACAGTTAAATTTTGAGTATTGAATTCATTTAATATTCTTCCTGTTGTAGATGAAGTAGCCCAAGACCTGTGTAGAAAGGATACTTGCATGCATGACTAAATAGTTAAAACTCCCTTAATGAATAACAGTTCAGGACTAAAATAAGGTTGGCTGAAAGGGTTTTTGTTCTGATGTTGCCTAACTTGTCATTATAACGTGCTGTTGTATTTCATCTGTCCATGTGGGTTTTGTGTCTGCATGGATGCCTAGCACACTTACTGAAATATTTAAATACACTTTAAGAGTAGTCTGACATACTTGGCATACTGACTAGCTCATATATTTTAATTGAGAGTTTAAAATCTGTCATGATGTGGCAAATAGCCCAAGTGGTAGGTTGATGATTTAGTATGCAGAGGACTTTCTGCCTGTTGCATTCTTCTATGTTTCCCTCCTTCCATGCTCTTAAAAGAACAGAAATAATATCAGGTACCAGGAGAGGACAACAGAATAAATGTTAGCAGGTTCTCCATTTTCTCACTGCTCTTTTTATATTAATCTACATTCGTTAAATGTTTTCAGGAAATGCACTTGTAAGAGTTGTTTCAGAAGTGTCTGAGTTGTTTGGTAGATAGGCTGTTGGTTTGAATAGATCACTGTAGGCTTTAAGGGAGAGACTTGGTCTTCACAAACAAGAAAGTCTGTGAAGCACAGGGGAAAACGCAGAGCTTGCTGCCCATGGCCCTTTATGCCTGTCTTTTCTCTCCTGCCAGGTTTTGGCAACTGCTAGGCTCAAGCAGCCACCAAGCCCCCCACCAAGATTCTATTAATTCTTTCTCATGCAAGCTACTGAACAGTGATCAGATAGGATTGAGTTTGTGCTGCTACTAGTCTGGAAACTGGAGCATGAGGGCCTCCCTACAACCTGTTACTGATCCCCACTGTTCTTCCTTGTTTCTATCCTTTAGGCACAATGGTTGGTGATCATACCCGCTTGGAGTTCCACAACATTGAGACAGGGATCATGACTGAGAAACGGTACATCTCTGTCATCCCCTCCAGCTTCATCGGCCACCTTCAGAGCCTCATGTTCAACGGGATGCTGTACATTGACCTGTGCAAGAATGGTGACATTGACTATTGCGAGCTGAAGGCACGCTTTGGTCTCCGCAACATCATAGCTGACCCTGTGACGTTCAAGACCAAGAGCAGTTACCTGAGCTTGGCCACCTTGCAGGCTTATACATCCATGCACCTCTTCTTTCAGTTCAAGACCACATCAGCTGATGGTTTCATCCTCTTTAACAGTGGTGATGGCAATGACTTCATCGCAGTTGAACTAGTCAAGGGGTAAATGACTTTCTGTTATATTCTACCAGCTTATTTATAGGTAAACTTACTTATAGGTAGACTTAAAATGTTTGCATAAAGAGAAATCCACCTCATACTCATGTTTTCTCTATTTGCTGAAGCATACACCAAAGCACTTAAACATAAACATTGAAGCTTAAGACTCCTGTTTTTCACTGACTTCCTTCTGTGGCTGAAGAAGACACATTTACAGTGTGAAACATTAATATTTTAAGTCCTTCGGATGTAGTTAGAGTAATGTTTTGTCCTGTTAACCTTCACAGAGGAGGAGGAAATGTTCTCAGGGCTCTGTGTCTCTGTTCCCCCTACCCCTCTCTTTTTTTTTTCCTGTAGGACTCCTTTTTCTGCCATCTCCACTGAAGGAAAAACAGAAAAGCATGTGGGCTGCTGAATTTGTATTTCTGCTGGTGATGCTTGAGGAAAAGCAAACTCAGCTTGCCTTTGAGCTGCTATATTCTTTTTGAAAGACCAGTAACTTATTGGAAAAAAAATCCTTTGTTAGCTGAACAAATTTTGATCTCTTATGATTTAGTCATGGTAGACATGTTTTCCATAGATGCTGTTTACTAGTCCTATTTATTTTTCCATCTATTTCATTTTTAACTTTGCACATGCTTCTGTAAGTGGGACATGGAGTAATAAAAAAAGCAACAGTCATGGTTCTCTGTTGAGGGTTGAATTTTGTTGTCTTTGTTTCCTTCTAAATAGAATACTTTTCTTCTATCCTCAAGTGGATTTCTGTGTTTGAACTATATAAATAATTCAGGGTAACAGTCCCATGACTTCAGTTTTCGTTAGGATCTTTATTTTTTGCTGAAAGCTTTGCTAATTGTTTTCCAGCTGTTTGAATAAGCCTAGGATCTCATGTGAATTTCATACAATATTTCAAGTGAGTTTCACAATTAACTTCTTAAGGGAGTTATTCAAAACTCAAAATGAATCTGGGGAATATATGCCCCAAATAAGCATATCTAGTGCTGCTCTCCAGTATATTTATCGATATTATCAATTAAAAAAATTGTATGGACAGGGTTTTGTGGATCCGTGAGAACTTTGTGAAAAAGAGAAATGCTTTATGGTCAAAATCTGATTATTTCACATGTAGTCATCTCAAAATACTAATCCTTACACTTTAGTGGAAAGAAAACAGCCATATCTTTTCAAAGCAGTGGCGAATATTTTGGCTTACTAGAACTTTCTAACCCAGAGATACTTCCCTTCATGGTTTTTGTAAGTTAATTTATCACCTATGGCTAGAATAAGGGTCAGTAGCACTGGAATTCTTACACAATTTTAACTAGTTCTTCCTATGTTTACAGGTATATACACTACGTGTTTGACCTTGGAAATGGACCTAATGTAATCAAAGGCAACAGCGATCGTCCTCTTAATGACAACCAATGGCACAATGTTGTCATCACTAGAGATAACAGTAACACACACAGCCTAAAGGTGGACACTAAGGTGGTCACTCAGGTTATCAATGGAGCCAAAAATCTAGATCTTAAAGGTAAATTCTACAAGACTGAGAATTCCCACCTTTATTCTTGCAAAGCTCAACTAGTAAACAAGAGAAAGCTGACAAGCCATGTATTAGAGAACAGTAAATCTGAACTTTTCTCATTTTGGCTTTCAAATTAATTTTCTTGTTTGGCAACTTCCTGTACCAGAATAATTTGTCATATTTTGCGTTTTCAGAAATTAATTCTCATACTACAGTTTTTCCTAGTTAGGCAGCAATTACAGCTGGGATTATTGGTGGGGTTTTGTGTTTGGCGGTTTTTTTGTGTTGTTTTTTTTTTTGTTGGTTGGTTGTTTTGGCTTGTGGTTTGTTTGGGGTTTTTTTTTTGTTGTTGTTTTGTTTTGGGTTCTTTTTGTAGTAAAGTAAAGAGAAATTACTTCTCACACAATATCTGGCTCTGCTTTTAACTTTTTCTGAGCGTCCGTTCACTTTGCTATATTCATGTTTGGTGGCAGGACAGTCATTCTAGAAGGTATGTAACTTCCTCCCTTTTGTACATTTACCCCTCTCTCCTCTAGGTGATCTCTACATTGCTGGCCTAGCTCAAGGCATGTATAGCAACCTCCCAAAGCTTGTGGCCTCACGTGATGGATTTCAGGGCTGTCTGGCATCTGTGGACTTGAATGGGCGTCTGCCTGATCTTATCAACGATGCTCTGCATCGCAGCGGGCAAATTGAGCGTGGATGTGAAGGTATAATTGATTTCAGAGAAGTTCTCCTCTCAGGCACTCACTTCTTACTTCATTGCTGCCCTCTGTGCATCTACTTGTCCACTTTACTGCCTATTTCATTAATTTACTTTCATTGTGATATCCCTCACTACATGTATGTCTTCCAAATGCTCCCAGATGCAGCTTAAGGATTGCTGTTTTCTGTGAGTTGCATAGCAGCTGTTCTTTTGCATGCTCCATTGCCTATGAGTTTGGTACCTCCAGTAGTGGGAAAGGATGGTACTGGGATGGATTACTATTATTAACTAGTAGTTTTCTCAGAATGGTTTATTAACATCACAGTACTCTTAAAATACCTGGAAATATATTCTGGGCATTCAATTAATTTGTGCTTCAGAGAACCCTTTTTTGGGATCCATGGAAGTAAATCTTTTGAAGAACAAGCAGAGAAAGGGAAAATGAAGGGTAGAAGTAGCTGAAGGGTGAAGACTGGACCAAAAGAGTTCATTTTTGAGGATGTGGGCCTCCAGTGAAAGCACTGGGGGCATTGCCTCTTCTGTCTGGAAAGCATTTCTCTTCTGTAGTTTCTCTTTTCCAGCCAATTTAGAACTCCATGTGATGATTTACTTTTTGAAGGATGTAAATATTAGTAATCTCTTGAAGCTTCTTTAAATAATTTACTGTTCCTTTTAAGCTCCCATTAATTAAAAGAATATTGGCATCAGCAGCACTGGCTCAGTAACATGCATATGGCTTCAATTCCCAAAGCACTTGCGATACTTACCATCAAAAGCTCCAAGGTTTTGCTGTCTGGGTTAAATGACAATCACCATTATGTCTAGCTCCACTCAATACCAGTCTGCTGTGTTAGCTACCAGTCACTAGAGGAAGACAGGTTTTCTTCTGTAAGGTTGGTATGTATGTTTGCTAAGGAAAGATATATGTCCTGAACTGATCCTTCAAAAATTTCACAAAGTGAAATTACTCCTTGATCGTCTTTACTGTGTCAAGATTGCAGGTTACGTCATGATAAAGCCTTGCCAGTTGTCAAGACTGTCCCTTAGGATTTAAAGTATCATCTTAGCGATATCTTTGAGTATTCACGAACAGCAGATTGGCACTCCAATTTGCTCTGATCCCTTGCTGCTTCTGGTTGGCTGAGAGCCCCAGTGCTCCTTCCACACTCCCACAATAATACTCTGGTTTGTGACAATTTTGTATTCTGTCACAGGAGTTCACGCAATGTCAGCTCCCATTTCACAGCATTGTGAAGTGCCCAACAGCTGTAGGCTGTATTTTTTTCTCTCTTTTTTTTTTAATAATGTCAATTAACCACATTGTTCCTTGTGGAAATGAGCACAGTGCAGCAGAACTTGTGTTTTTGTTCATTTGTGGCAGAGCCAACATGCCAAAAGAAGCGCACCTTTTCTGTATTGTTGTTTACAAACTTCAAGGAAGAAAAGTACATTTAGGGGTTTTGAAAATGCCTGTTCTGTTTATCCTAGATGCACTGAAAACTCTCCTTTAATATTAGTGATTTCTGATAATTTTTATGTTTAACATGACCTTAATCCATTAGCTGTGTTCAGCCTGCATATGCTCTCTGCTAGCTCTCCTGCTTCAGAGGACCTCTCATTAGACTAACCTGTTGTTCTGTGTGTGGCTCAGTAACAGACTGATGATGCTTTCCTAGAAGACTATCACTATTATGAGAGTGATGGTGTTTCCCTCTCCGGTACTCAGTGTAGTTCTTTGGTTTAATATCCTATTACTGAGGTTGTATAATGTCAGTGCCACTCCCAAAAGACATAATGTGGCATTTGCTTTGTCTGTGTGCCAATCTGGTACCAGCCCAGCTGATGTCTGAATGTGGAGATAGCTTCACACTTACAATGTCTGGAATGTGAATTCCCCTTATCTTCTCTATCTTTTAGTAAAAACCCTGAGAATTAGATTACCAGAAAGCTGTTTCATTTGCTGGGCATTTTATTCTCTTATTTTCTTGAAGCACAGTAAACCCCGAGGCTTCATCTCAGATCTTGGCTGCTGAGTGCTGGTGCCTATTCTTAGAGTTGCCAATGAAGGTTACACCTATCTCCCATTTCTCTAAGGAAAGAAAAACTCTAAGTGTATTGAGGCCTTATTTACATCTCCCTAGTTTGTTTCCATCTGAAGTGATCTTGGGTGCAGTCTAAACAGTGTTTTTAAGAGCTGAAATCCCAAGCAGTCCTTGCTGTCTCATGATGTTTAAATATGTTTAATAAACAATTGCAGGCTTTTTGTGTGAATAGTTGTGCTGTGTGTTGATTTGCAGGACATAACCCTGTTTCATCATGAAGGGTAGTGAGACCACATACATGATGAGAACATGCATTCTTCAAGAAATGTCATTCCATTCCCACATATTAATCTTGGCTTTGAAATGTGGTGTGAGAGAGATTTCTGCTAATGCTTGTCTCTTGTTACGGCTTTGCTTTCAGAAGCAGAGGAGATTACAAGGTGGCACCTGTTTTCTCTGAAACTGTCAGTTTGATCTCAGGACAAAATCAAAGGATGTATAGAGGAAGAAAGCTGGAGAATAGTAGAATGTGAGATCTAAGTCAGCAGACAGCATTGTCCCACCTAAGGTGCACCAGTACCAGTACAAAGGGGTGACATTGTTGCATCCTGTTTGCATTTGTTATTCCCCCTACTACCACCCAAAAAAAAGGGGTTTGGTGAGAGGGCCTGAGGGAAAATCTACTAAAGGTAGGGAAGTGGTTGAGACTTAAATGGTCCTTGTGTCACTGTTAGATCAGGGTACTACTGAACACTCTGAAGAGACAAAATCAATTCTCAGAAAGGACTTGAAGTACTTTCCACTTCTAGTGGAAGTGGGGCCTTTTCTAGCAGAAGCTTGCAGGGAAGTCTGCCACCTACTTTGGGCCTTGCTTTCCCCACCCATAAAATTGATCAGCGAGGCATTCATGTATTTGTGATGAAAGCAGGAAATTGAATATGTCTTGGAGACCACTTTGACATAGTGGGTGGAGTTTCCTAGAGATGAGCAAAGCATTAGAAACCGAAGAAATCTTCTGTTGAAAACCTGGTTTTCTCCAGTCTCTGTCTCAACAGCCTATGGGCTGCGGTTGGATATGTTTATACTCATGAGTTTGAGTAATACAGACTATATCTATCCCAGACATACACAGCTTGAGAGAAAAGGTGTTTGTGCTATAGTGTGTATGCAAGAGCTGGTAGATGGAAGAAGTTGTTCTGGGTGACCTCCCTTCTTTCTTTGAAAGTAAACAATCTAAACTTCAGATCAGCTCTTTCTCACTTCTAGACTTTTAAAATCAATTCTTTTTTGGCTGAACTTTACATTCCTGGTCTTACAACTAGATGAACAGATCAGTTTATTCCATTCACAAAAGTCAAGACTGAGTAACTCACTGCTTTTTCCTCACTGGTCCTGGAAGAAGTTAAGCAGATGTCCAAAATTCTGTGGAGTTTAAAGAGGATGGCCTTAATATTAATGAGTTCTTCCTGTATTTGAGGTGGTTTTTACTTCTTTATTAACTTTCCATATGCTCTCCTGTGTCTTCCTTTCCTTTATTTTATGTTGCTTACATTGGTCACTAGAGCTATCTGAAATTCAGCTGCACACTTGAAGTTCACCCCATCCTGCCCCCACTCGAACAAACCTAACAGGAGTGGTTAAAGAACATTTTATTTCTTCTACAAGGTAGTTTTCCATGTGCTTTATAGATGTTGCTTCTTCCTCACTTGTTTCACTGATAAGAGTTTCTCACAAGGAGAGTGATTATTAGACTGGCTGACACTGTTCCAGATGTTTGGGGACTGGTTTTTTGTCCTAATTTAATCTTCTTTCCAGATCCTGCAGTAAAATTATAATCTTTTGCTACTTTCCATGTCATAGTATAGTTAACCTTTGAAATTCACTGGTGCATGAAAAGCATGAATGACACATACAGGCTGGATAATCAGAAACATGTTTTGCATACTAAGGAGTATGTGGAAAAAAAGAAAATCTAATCTCATGCTTAGAATCTCACAGCAGGATAATGTCAGAAAGGATTTCACCCTTCACCTGCTCAGTAGAGAAATTTCAAATCTGGTCATACTTCACTTTCCCTCTGGAATCAAAAGTTGTCCATTGAGGAGTGGAGTGTGAATATACTCCATGATGGTTTGGCAGCTCTCCTGTTCTTTATGCTTTTGTATTCTATTCTCATAGTGCTACTGGAATCACAGAACAAATATGAGCTTTCCTCCAGCTCAGCTACAAAGAAGAGAAGAAGCAGGGCAGTAGGAAAAGGACTTGTTTGTTATAGAGAAATTACTTTGTTAGAATAAGTGTTGAAGATGATGCATGGAGAAAAGCATGCTTCTCCTTTTTCTAGTCTTCCCCCCCTTTCTTTTGAATTTTCTTGAAAGAACAAGATATTTTATGGCTCTATGTAGTAAAGCAGTTCCAGAAGTGGGAAGAAATATCTGACTATCTCAAAAGGGAAGATAATTGTCATCTTGAGTCATTCATGGGCTGTGCAACAATAGCAAAGATGCAAAATGTTAAACTTCTTAGGATCCACAGGAAATGACATCAGTACATGCCAGTTCTAATTTATTGAGTTGTAAGTGCAAAAAAAGATAATGGGAGAAAGGGAGAGTACCAGTCTCTCTTCAATAGCAGCTGTGATAGTAGAACTTTTTAAGAACAGATGGTTAAGCAGGTAAGTATGCATTTCTTAAGTGTCTCAAAATACTCATCTTTTGAGCAATGAGGTCAGTGATTTGGTGTTTTGTTGTTCCCATTGTGCTGTATAATAGAAATATGTTACCTTCAGTGGCAAGAAATTCAGGAACTGCTGCCTGTGCTCCCATCTTTGTCCTCTGCTTTTTCCATGCTGAAAGAGAAAACTTAGAATCAAGGTATAACGCATCAAAAATCTATGTGGCTTCCTTGTAAACTGAACTCCATTTAAAAAAAAGCAAAACCAAATAAACAAGAAATACTGTGC